AAATGTTTGATGTATTTATTCATTTACTCCTTTTTGAGGTCAATACTATTTCTAGCCCTTTGTTACAGATTAAGTTGCTGACAGAGTAGCTAGTGCCTGGTCCATGTGCGCAGTCGTGTTTGGCTTTTGCAACCCCATGGGCTGTAGCCCACCAGGCTCCTCCGTCCATGGGATTTCCCAGGCAAGAAGACTGGAGTGGGTTTCCACTTCCTTCTCCAGGGGATCTTCCCGACCCAGGGGTCGAACTGACCTGTCTTACATTGGCAGGTGGATTCTTTACCACCTGCGCCATGTGGGAAGCCCAGAGTAGCTAGTACCTGATTTAAATTTACATAGATGGAAAATGAAGAAGTTAAAATTTGAACTGTTCTGATTCCAGAACCTGCTTGCTTACTACTGTCCATGCTGCCATAGAGGCCAGAAAATGTTTGTGGAAAAATAAATGTCATTGTACACATCAAAAAATTTTTTTCACCTTTCTAAGGATATAGAAAATTTCCAAGGGTAATTGTAAGGAACAAATGCAGAAATGACTGCAAACCACTCAGCACCATGCCTAGTACACAGTAATTATTACTAGGAAATATACGCTAAGAGTTTGGGGGGTATTTAGGAAGACGAGAGTTTCCAAAGGAATAAAAGGAGATAATCCACCCCCAAAATAAAACAATCCCTATCAAAAACCCAGCAAACTTTATTGCAGAAACTGACCAGCTGATCCTGAAATTTACATGGAAATTCAAAGGCTCCAGGAGAGCCAAACCAGTTGTGAAAAAGAACCTAGTTAAAAATGTACTGTATGACTACAGAAGTCAAGACATTGTAGTACTGACATTAAGAATAGACATGTACATCAATGGAACAGAACTGAGAGTCCAGAAATAAGCATTTTTATGGTCAAATTTATTTTTGACAAACATGCCAAGACAATTCCATAGGGAAAGGATTGTCTTTTCAGTATATAGTGCTGGTACAATTGGCTATCTACATGCAAAAATATGGAGTTAAACTCTTACCTCACAATATACACAAAAATTAACTCAAAATAGATCATATATCTGGAAGGTAATAACTGAAACCATAGACCTTTAAGAAGAAAACATAGGAGTAAGTATTCATCACTTTGGGTTAGGCAAAGGGTTATTAAATTTGACACCCAAAGCAAGATTCATAAAAGAAAGAAATTGGATTTCATCAAAGGTAGAAATTTTTTTTCTTCAAAGATACTGTTAAGAAAACAAAAAGACAAGCTACAAACTGGGAGAAAACATTTGCAAATCACGCATTTGATGAGGATTTGTATCCAGAATATATAAAGAACTCTTGCAACTCAGTAAGATAAACAACCCAATTTTAAAGTGGGTTTAAATAGATACTTTACCAAAGAAGATATTTGAGTGGTTATTAAGTACATGAGAGGATGCTCAATATATTCATTAGAGAAATGCACATTAAAACCACATCTACAAGAATGTCTATAATAAAAAGAAGAGACGATATCAGGCATTGGCAAGGAGAAACTGGAACCTCGTATATTGGTGGTGGGAATGTAAAATGGTTCAGCCATTTTGGAAAAATTTGGCTGTTCCTCAGAATGTTTAACATAGGTGTACCATAGGACTCAGCAATTGCACAAGTAGATATATACCAAGATAAATAAAAATATTTTCATAAAAAACTTGTGCAAAAATGTTTGTGGAAATATTATTCACAACACCCAAAAAGTGGAAAAAAATCTAGAGATCTGTCCATGAAATGGAATTATATTGAGCAACAGAAAGGAATGAACTACTATTGATAGATGCTACAGCGTAGATGAACCTCAAGATCCTTATGCTGAGTGAAAAAAGACCACATATTGTATGATGCCATTTATATAAAATGTCCAAAAAAGGCAAATCAGTATAGAGAGATAGACTACTCATGATTGCCTGGGGCCAGAAATGGGTATGGGGATTGACTGCAAAGGGGATTGACATGAGGGATCTCTTTGGGGTGATGGAAATGTTCAAAATCTGGATTGGCGTGATAGTTGCACAATTCTTTGTGTGTTAGTCGCTCTGTGGTGTCCAACTCTATGCAATCCGATGGGCTACATGTCACCCACCAGGCTCCTCTGTCCATGGAATTGTCTGTACAACTGTAAATTTACTAAAATGTCACTGAATTGTATACCTTTTTTTTTTTTTTCTTTGGTCACTCCTCACAGCTTGTGGGATCTTAGTTCCCTGAACAGGGACTGAACTCGAGCCCTGGCAGTGAAAGCGCCAGATCCTAACCATTTAACTGCCAGAGAATTCCCCAGGTTGGAGCCAATATTAATACTATTATTATTAATAGCATTATTTTCAGTGACATTTATACTTCCAATAAAAGTTTCTGATAGTGAAGCATATTATATATTATTACCAACAAGTTTTATATTTTATTGAAAAATAATTCACATGCCATAAGATTCATCCTTTTAAACAGTACAATTCACTGTTCTTTAGTATATATGTAATTGTGTAACCACCACTAATTCCACATCTTTATTACCTCAGTGGGTTTTCTGAATTGGCTGGTACAGTATAACTATTTAGAATATAAGATAAAAATTCTAAATTTAGGAACTTATAAATTTAGAAGTTATATTTTGTTGGAGGCATTTGGTTCCTAGTATAAATTTAGTAACCAAATGCCTCCACCCAAATACAATATATGGTACAGTTTCCACCATCAACCGATGAATACATTTATTGAAATGTAACTTCCTATTTTAGGTAAACTGTTGTGCCCAAAATTTGTGTGATAGAAAAAAAAATATGACAACCTAGAAGGGTGGGATGGGGTGGGAGGTGGGAGGGAGGTTCAAAAAGGGAGGGAACATGTATACCTTTGACTGATTCACGTTGATGTATGACAGAAGCCAACAATATTGTAAAGCAATTACCCTTCAATTAAAAATAAATTTAAAAAGAAAAATATATAGATTTTATTGAAGTATAGTTGATTTACAATGTATTAATTTCTGTATAGCAGTGATTCAGTTATATATATATATATATATATATGTAGGTAGGTTTGCCTGGAGAATCCCAGGGACGGCGGAGCCTGGTGGGCTGCTGTCTATGGGGTCGCACAGAGTTGGACACGACTGAAGTGACTTAGCAGCAGCAGCAGCAGGTAGGTTTAATCGCTCAGGTGTGTCTAACTCTTGTGACCCCATGGACTGTAGCCTGCCAGGTTCCTTTGTTCATGGGATTTCCCAGGCAAGAATACTGGAGTGGGTTACCATTTCCTTCTCCAAGGGATCTTCCCCACCCAGGGATCGAACCTGGGTCTCTTGCATTGCAACTGGACCCTAAAACTGAGCCACTTTTTTCATATTCTTTTTCATCATGGTTTACCATAAGATATTGAACATAGTTTCCTGTGCTACACACAGGGACCTTGTTGTTTAATCCACTCTCTATATAATAGTGTACATTTAATCCCAAACTCCCAAACCATCCCTCCCCCACACCCTTTTGACAACCAGAAGTCTGTTCTCTATGTGATTCTGTTTCATAGGTTAAGTTCATTTGAGTCATATTTTAGATTCCATATGTAAGTGGTATCATGTGGTATTTGTCTTTCTCTAATAGAAAACATTATTCATTTTAATCTTGCTTACATAGTCAATGACCACAGATAACCTAAATATGTACTCATTTCTCCTTACATTATTTTTCTGGCTAGAAATGAAGACCTGTACATGATAGAAAATTTACAGTGTAAAAAATGCTTAAGCAGAAATGAACCTTATTGAAAAAGGGGTTAAGAAAGTCTCAAAAATCTTTAAATTTTAAAATACTGATTTATTGGTAATAGGTCCAGTGAAAACATGATCTTTTTTTTTCACACAGAATAGTTTATTGTTATATGCACATTTTACTGAAAATCAGGAAGTCACATAAAAAAGCGATAGCTTTTAACAGAAAAAAATTTCAAGTACATTAAGAGATTTTAAGTAGCTTTAGTACCTTCACTACACTTTGCTTTTCACTGTTTTTTAAAAAACAAATCCCCAAAGAATAATTTTACTTTTGATTTTAGAGTGATTTTTAATTATATTTTCTTACATTTAAGATTTCCAAAAAATGTGTGTACAGACTGTTATGTTTTTGGGATTAAAAAAACACATTAATGACTCCCAATTTCCGCTGAATACAATCTGTATTCGCAAACATGACATTTGAAGACCTTCAGTTTTCATTAGCTGCAGGAAAAGAACAATGAATATTTAGAAAGGAGAAAGAGTAAAGAAAATAGAGATTCGGATCGGCTAAAAAAAAACAAAAAACACCTTTGGGCGCTCTCACGACACCTAGCTTCTATCCTGTGCTAACTCCATTAGCGCCACCATGGACCACCTCCCAGGCTCTAGAAACCTCTCTGTGAGAACAAGTTAGAGACTTTGCTTTTGCCATCCCTGGGTCGCAAAACATCCGCTTGAGGGCGCCCTCCTCATCGCCCGCCAGCTCGGTACGCGGCCACGAACCCCGTCACAGGAGAGACGGACTCGGGGATGATCTCGTCTTATTAAATTATGGAAATCGGTAAAGAAGGACATTCCAACAGCCTATCCTCACACCCCAGATAAGAACCCCAGGTTCCGGGAAACTCTTTCGGCCATCCCTAGGGGAACCGGAAGTGGGTTCACCCTCGTCAGCGCGCGCCTCGGTGGCATCGCCCGCCTCGTCGGGGGCCTTTGTTGGGGCTGCTCGCACCGTTGCCTGCAGAAATATCCAACAGGTCTGCCGCGAGTAGATCCCGAAACTTGGCCTTGTGTTTTTTGGTCAGCCTGCCGGCGGGCACTATACAAATTAATTAGGAGACAAGTCCAAGCAGTGAAGCCTCCGCTGCTGCGGCCATCCTCCTCTCCCAGGCCTGGGCCCTAGCCAGCCCTCCCGCCTCCGCTGCTCCGCCCTGCACCAGGGGTCCTGCGCGCGCTCAGGCAGGTACGCGGCCGACTTCCTTCCTCTCCGGGCAAGATGGCGGGGGGCGAGGCTGGTGTGACTTTGGGGCAGCCGCACCTTTCTCGGCAAGATCTCGCTACTTTGGTAAGGCATGGCTCTGGAAGTATGCGGAATGCGCTCAGGAGTAGGGATGACCGGGCCTCCCGCGAGGCTGTGAAACGAGGCGGTGCCGGGCGGTCGGGAGCATGAGTTAGGAGAGAGACCTGGAGCCCGGCGCCCTAAGCCGCGCTCGTGCTTCCCCACGCGCTTCTGTCAATTAGGGAGCTGGCCATGGAGCTGTGCGGTCGTGGGGCCCCCAAACTCCCGGATGATTCGGCTAGGAACTTACAGTGTTAAGTGTCATTAAGGCTCTTCACTTTGGAAGTTTTGGGAAAGGAGTATCTATACATTCCTTAGTTCTAATGCTCTCAAGGTTGGGGAACCCCGAGCCTCCACATCTCCCATAATCAGTGTGTAAGGATGAAGGACTTTTAGTGCTTTCCAGAATGCAAGATTGTACAGGAAAAGCGCTTTAAAAGTAGAAGAGGGCTATTCAAATGGTAGCGAGCTGTAGGTAACAATGTAAAGCCAAAATTTTTATTCATCTTATGTACAATGATTTAATATAGAAATATTTGATTGCAGGATGTTTCCAAGTTGACGCCACTTTCACATGAAGTTATCAGCAGACAAGCCACAATTAATATAGGTAAGATAAGAATAACTTGAAGATTTCATTAATTTCCAGCAAATAGTTTTGCTCTTTCCCTTTGTGTAAGTACCTGAATTACATGAAGATGCAGATATTCGAGAAATAGATGTTGAGCTCTTAGGAGCAATGCATCTGCTAGATTTTTGGTGGGAGGCCCCTGTTGCCTTTGTCTAGCTTATAGACTCGGTGAGAAGAAAAGGTAAAGACTTAAAGAAAACTTTTAATAGCATAAGGTGATGTGTAGTCATCTAGTAAAGCAGAGGGGAAATGTGATTGTACTTGCCACACAGGGTTGTTGCAAGAGCAGAGTTTGTGAAAGTTTTGTTTGAGATGTGCATAAGCTATAATTAGGGTGTTTTTTTTTTTCCCTTAATTGGCACCTGGAACTTTGGAGAAGTTATGTTGACTGAGTGTAAATTTGGAGTATTTGAGAGTCTGTACAAAAACAGTATAAACCTCCTTAAAAGTAAGGCTCTACCTTGAGACTCTTAAAAATTGTATGATACGTGCTAGCCTTAATAGCATTACTATAATCATGCCTGAGTTTTTCTCTTGTTTCCATGGATTCCTTTTTTGCGTGTCAGGGTTCTTCATACTTACTTCGCTCTGAAAATGCTGAAAAGTTTCTTGATATACAAAGTTTCATGCACTTTTTTACAAGTGTTTATTTTATTTTATTTATTTATTTTTTACAAGTGTTTATTTTAAATGAAGGCACTGTTTTCTGTGATTAAAGATGGATGGCTTTTATTATGCCCAGTATGGTTTAAAACAAGGTTGTCAGTCACACGGAAAGTTCTCTTCAGTCCTGCATCATAATAAATTTATGTAATCAGGGATACATAGGAGGAAAAATCAATGTTCATAGTGAGTTATGGCTTTGGGTTTTCTCCTCTAAAATTGAAAAAATGTGTGGTGTAACTGAATGCACTTGAATTAATTTTTTGTACTTTGTAGGTACAATTGGTCACGTAGCTCATGGGAAATCTACAGTTGTAAAAGCTATTTCTGGAGTCCACACTGTCCGTTTCAAAAATGAATTGGAAAGAAATATTACAATCAAACTTGGCTATGCTAATGCTAAGGTGAGCTGTGTACAGTGAAATGAAAAACTCACTTTAGTTGTTGAATGTGCAGATAACAAATCCAAGTCTTTTCTCATTGAAACTTTTAGATTTATAAACTTGACGACCCAAGTTGTCCTCGGCCAGAATGTTACAGATCCTGTGGAAGCAGCACACCCGATGAGTTTCCTACAGACATTCCAGGGACCAAAGGGAACTTCAAATTAGTCAGGTGACCTTTTTTGTGCTAAAAACACTTAACATTTCATATTTTGTTGTTGTGTGGTTTGTACTTTTTGAGATATTTAATTGAGATGTTACACAGTGAACCTAATTGTTGAATGGCTTTATTTTTCCTTTATTTTTTCTGGTCCGTAATGACAGTAATTTGAAAAGTCAAGTATTTAAAACTACATTAAGACACATACGTGTAAGTGCTCCAAAGGAAAAGTATCACATAAGCAAAATGAAATGGAGGGAAACACAGCTCATTGGATTTAAGGGATTCTTTTTTCCAGGCTTCCTAAATTTCTCTTTGAACAGTGTTGGGTTTGTCTTAGATAAAGGAACAAAGCCATTCTTAATCACCTCTCTTAAATACAAGGACTTGTAACCCATTTATTTTCTGAATATGATTATATATTCTTTATCAGAGGATACTGATATCCACCTGGTGATGTTTATGGTGTTTGGGGATGTCCACAGGGAAGTTGTAGAGCGAGGCAGAGCTGGGGCTAGGGAGAGGTGAATGAGGCTCAGAGTTTGAGGTGAGGGAGAATGCTTTAAGAAAAAAATCAGACCTGGTAATCAAGATGAAGATAAGGGCTTCCCAAGTGGCTCAGCGGTAAAGAATCCACCTGCAATGCGGGAGATGGAGGTTCTGTCCCTGGGTGGCAAGAATCTTGGAGAAGGAAATGGCAACCCTGTCCAGTAATCTTGCTTGGGAAATCCCATGAACAAAGCAGCCTAGTGGGCTACAGTCCATGACCTCACAAGAGAGAACATGAGTTAGCAACTAAACAACAACAATCAAAGTAAACAGTGTTATTTACTTTTAAATTAAAATTTTTTGGGGGCATGCCACATACCTTATGATCAGGGATCAAGCCTGGGCCCCCTGCAGTGAAAGCTTGGAGTCCTAACTACTGGACGGGCAGGGAATTCCTAAAGTAAAATAAAGAGAGGCTCAAATTACTGTTTTTTTCTTTTCATTATCACTGGATTTTTGGTTTGTTTTGCTTTTGGCATGGCATCGTTGCTGATCCTGTTTTCAGTAAATTTTTCATATTTTGTTCATCTTGGATTTTCTTGTATGAATTTTGGTTTTTTTAAGTACTTAAATATTATTTGTTTTGATTACTGGCTTTTCGGGTCTTCCCTTAAATTTTGCATGTGTGTCAAGTGCCTCACTTGCCTCACCCTACTTGTGGCCCTTACCAGCAAACTTGTCCTGGAGAGGGCCCAATAATAAGTATTTTCAGCTTTGCAGGTCACAGATTCTCTTTTGAATTACTTATTTCTGCTCTTGTGTTAAGAAAGCAGTTGTGATGTACATGAGTGGTTATGACAGTGGGGCAGTTTGCTGCCCCTATTTTAGATTATGAGTGTGAGCATACAACTATTAGAAATAATGGTTCCAAATGAGTAGCATAGTTTTGTTAAGATAGTGCTCCCGTCTCTACTTCTCATTGGCATTTCCAGCTTTTCAAGATGCTGGAGAAGTTTTTGGCAAATTTTTTCAGATAGCACTGCCCATTCTGTTAACAGTTTTAGCTTCCAAATCAATGACATTCCCAGTGTTTACTTTATACCATATTTTCTTTGATTGGATTTGGGAGTTTGTGTTTCTTCAGTTATTTCTATACATGACTAATTTCATTTGCTTTGTAATGATCTGCAGTGATTTTACTCTTAGCCAATGGTTAATTTTTGTTCTTTTCATATTTTATTTTTTTCTCTCCAGTTTTATTGAGATATAATTGGCATACAGCACTGTATAAGCTTTAAGGTATACAGCATAATAATTTGACATACATACATTTTGAAATGATTTTCACAGTAAGTTTAGTGACCATCCATTATCTCATATAGATATAAGCTTAAATAAATAGAAAAAATATCTTTCCTTGTGATGAAGACTCAAGATTTATTCTGTTAACAGCTTTCATGTATGACATATAGTGGTGTTAACTATATCTATTGTATTGTATGTTATACTCCTAGTAATTCTTTATCTTAAAAAAGTTGGTGACTGCTTTCATCTGATTCCTTTTTCCCCCAACCCCACTGTTGGTAACCATAGATCTGTTAATTACAAATCTGATCTCTGTTTCTATGAAATTTTTGTTTGTTTCTGAAGTATAATTGAGTCAGTAGGTGGTCTTATTTCTAAAGTCTAGAAACACCAAGTCCTGTAACTGCTTGACTTTACAAAAATAAGAATTATTTGCATATTCTTACGCCGTATTGACATTCTATACTTAACGGGGTTTAATTTTAGGGAATCTGTAACTCGAATGTTGACGTATTGATTGATCTTAGGACTGATGGTTATTTTTTAATTTGTTAGGCATGTTTCCTTTGTTGACTGTCCTGGCCACGATATTCTGATGGCTACTATGCTGAACGGTGCCGCAGTGATGGATGCCGCTCTTCTGTTGATAGGTAAATACATCAGAATTGGTTCCAACAAATCACTGTGGAGCAAATCCAAGATGGAATACTTAAAGGAAAACTAAGGCCTTTAAGGACCACATCCTGTGTCTAAAGGTGACAGGAATGGGAACTAACATGTCACCCAGTATGACATCCTTGTCTTCCAGTGATCTAAAGTCTGTAGTGCATTTTGTCCCCTTAGATTCCATGAAATGATTTATTACTTTAGTTTTAGATTGTTTTTGTATGTGTGCATCTTTGAAGTGTTTACTGCAACATTGGTGTATAATGGTTTTATTAGATGCAAATTTCATTTATAATAAGTGCTGAAGTCTAGTAGATGAACTGTGATTTTCAAGTCTGGAGTTGTGCCACCTTGTGTGAGCTGGCAAGAGATTTTGTTGCTGTGAGAAATAATTTTTAAAAGTAGGCTGAGTGGATAGAGTATAAGACACACCTAAACATCACCACTTAGGGAGGATGGTCGTTGGAGTATCCAGCAAAACATACCTACTTCTTGATAATACCAATGGTTATTTTTTCTTTCCTCTATTTGTTAGGGAGTAGCCTCTGATAGTAGTTGAAATTCATGGACTGTGTTAAGTGTCTTCCCTTAATTACTCCCCACCTCTCAGGAGCTTGACCAGGTCAGAGCATCTCTAAAACTGGATAGAGCCAGGGGGATATACCTTATGCTTGAGCAAAAGCCAAGGGCAGACCCTGAAATGCCAAACTTGTAGATTTTTAAGTTTCTGGCTTAAGACCAGGAAAGAGAATCTAATAATCAGGAGACTCCAGTGAATGCAGGCACAAGGGGTGGAGCAGGGGCAAAAGTTGAATGCTTGGCAATAATCCGGGCATTCAAGCATTTCCTTTTTTTAGATGTCAGGTAGGTGTTTTGTTTTGGTTTTTTTAATAGTATAATATACGTAGCATTAAAGTTAGCACTATAGCTATTTAAAGTATACAATTTGGTGATATTAAGTACATTTACAGTGTTTACAAGCATCAGCGCTATTGAGTTCCAGAACATTTTTGTCTCCCTAGAAGGAAACCCTGTGCCCATTAAGAAGTCACTCTAATCCCCCTTTCCTTCACTCCCTGGCAACCACTAATCTGCCTCTTATGGATTTTCCTATTCTGACAGATAGTTCTAGCTAATTCTCATGCATCTTTTTTATTCTTTATCATCTAGCTGGTAACGAGTCTTGTCCTCAGCCTCAGACATCTGAACACTTGGCTGCTATAGAAATCATGAAACTGAAGCACATTTTGATTCTACAAAATAAAATTGATTTGGTAAAAGAAAGCCAGGCTAAAGAACAGTATGAACAGATCCTTGCATTTGTTCAAGGTACAGTAGCAGAAGGCGCTCCTATTATCCCAATTTCTGCTCAGCTAAAATACAATATTGAAGTTGTCTGTGNACAGAGGATGAGATGGTTGGATGGCATCACCGACTCAATGGACATGGGTTTGGGTGGACTTCAGCACTTGGTGATAGACAGGGAGGCCTGGTATGCTGTGGTTCATGGGGTTGCAAAGAGTCGGACACAACTGAGCGACTGCACTGAACTGAAGAAACCTTTCAACTAGTAAAATGGTCTTTCCCAGGAGTGTTAAGTATTTTAATCCTTTAAACAGTTTTATTATTTTGGTATATTAAATATATCTATTAGTAAAATTTGAGTTTTTTCCCCTTGAATGCAATAGTGTTAATTTTCAGGAGTAGAAAGAAATATAGAATACTGACACTTTTCTGAAAAGAATGACCATTTTTGCCTGTTGCTGTGGGTATATATATGTGGGTATATTTAGGCATCTATTTTAATAATCTTAACTGTTTCCTATAATATATAAAGAACAGGCTCTATAAAACTGAAGAATTTTGATCTTTTGAAAATTTTGTCTTACAGGTACAGTAGCAGAAGGCGCTCCTATTATCCCAATTTCTGCTCAGCTAAAATACAATATTGAAGTTGTCTGTGAGTACATAGTAAAGAAAATTCCAGTACCCCCAAGAGACTTTACTTCAGAACCCAGACTTATTGGTAAGTAATAGAATTTTTATCTGATCTTTACCACATTGCTGATTCCTCTTTAAGGGAATCGCCAATGATTTCTGCAGAGGTGATAATAAATTACAGTCTCCGTGAAAAACTTTTTTTTAAAGTCAGTTAATTCTGAGATTGTATTAGCAGAGTTAGATTGCATTACTGGATGGGAATCCTGAATACAGACACAACTTTTAGCCTTTTTGTGCTTGGTATGTGTTATGTTACATGATCAAGATGGAGCAATAAAGTATGCCTTATGGAATTATGTTTTAGTTAGAAACAGGATATTAGGACTTACAGACAAATGATTTCATTGTACCATTAATGAAGTTATTCACCTCTCTCATTTGTTTAAGTTTGTGGTATCAATATTGGTATAATTTGATCATTTAAACTCATGATTTGTACATAGATGGTGAAACCTTTTCACAACAGACATTTGAACCCTCTGAAGCTTCACCTAGGAGCCCCCCAGCCCTTTCTGTGTGTTGTGGGCAGGGTTCTCTTGGATTATTCTAATGAGTACACCTTGTTAATGGTTCCTGTTCTCAGGACTGAAGTGCAGGTCACATAGTCCTAGGGTTGTTTTGAAACTAAATCTTTTTGTTGCAGAAGTCATATAAAGGTACATGACCAGAAAGGTCCACAATTCTTCCCTCACCCCTTAGCCCTGAAGTTACAGTTAACAATTGGTGTGTACTGTTTGTGCACCTTTCTCTTTGTTCATATCATCATGTATAAACATAATACGTTTCTTGTTTCAGTTTTTCTATGTGAAAGTGGGATCATACTATGCATAACTAGTCTTTTCTTTTTCCCTGAACAACAGATGAAGGTTTTCCTTCTACATCATTACATATACTCTTTTTAACATTCTTTTTTTTTTTTCCAATTTTTAATTTTATATTGGGGTATAGCCAATTAAGAATATTGTAATAGTTTCAGGTGGACAACAGAGGGACTCAGCCATACATACACATGTATCCATTCTCCCTCAAACTATTCTCCCCTCTAACAGTCCTTTTTTAATAGCTGCATGATACTCCATACTGTGGGTGTACCATAATATGCCTCCTATCAATGTACTTTTAAGTTATTTCTACTTTTTCTAGCATAATTAAAATTGCAGTATACCTAGCTGGAATAATAATTTTAAACTTTGTGACAAAGTCTCCTTGTGTAAATTTTATGTGTCTACTATTTAAGAAAAGTTAACTTACAAAAAAATAAATTTTTCTGAAGTTAAAGTGAATAGACTTTAATTTGTTTTGTTTTCTTTCAGTTATTAGATCCTTTGATGTCAACAAACCTGGCTGTGAAGTTGATGACCTTAAAGGGGGTGTAGCTGGTGGTAGTATTCTAAAAGGAGTGTTAAAGGTAAACTGGATTTTGAGTGTTGTGTTTTTGCTTTATTTTTTCTCTTGTCCTAAGTAGGAGAATAGTACAGACACTCAAATTGAAAAATAATTTTTTTCTTCATGGTGTCTAGTACTTGATGTAGATTTCTTTGTTTACTAGTGTATCTTTTGAGTGTGTTTGACCTCAAACTTTATAGGCTTCTATGAATATGAAGCACATTTTAAATTGGCAATAGGCTTATATGATAGGTTGTTCAAAACATTTGGATGGTTCTGAATTTGAAGATATCTTCCACATCTTTTTTTTTTTTAAATAGTGATCTTTGAAATAAAGCTGACCTTTCAGTTTTGTGGTCTTCCTGTTAGGACTTTTCCTATGTAAGGAAAATGGTGTTGTCCCACAAATTCTAATTATTAATTTATATTTTTACAGGTGGGCCAGGAGATAGAAGTCAGACCTGGTATTGTTTCCAAAGACAGTGAAGGAAAACTCATGTGTAAACCTATCTTTTCCAAAATTGTATCGCTTTTCGCAGAGCATAATGATCTTCAATATGCTGCCCCAGGAGGTCTTATTGGAGTTGGAACAAAAATTGACCCCACTTTGTGCCGGGCTGACAGAATGGTGGGGCAAGTACTTGGTGCAGTTGGAGCTTTACCTGAGATCTTCACAGAATTGGAAATTTCCTATTTCCTGCTTAGACGGCTTCTAGGTGTTCGCACTGAAGGAGACAAGAAAGCAGCGAAAGTAAGTGCTTCAAGTGCCAGTGATGTTAAGACCAGTCTTGAGGTTCATACTTTTTAGTTAACACAGGATTAAGAAAAGAGAGAAGGTAAATAAATTTGACTTCCTGAAAATCGAGAACTTGCATATGGCAGTCTAAAGTAAAACAAAACAGGAAACAGTATGTCCTATATAACAGTGACATGATAATTCCTGTTATCTGTATGTTTTTCTTAAAAGTCTTAATTGAAATCAGGTTGGCAGAGATGAAAAATTGCTGATGTCTTTTGTTGGTAAGGTGATAGGAAAATAAGCAGTTATTTGGAAAGCATCTTCTTGATTTGGGGGTTTATTTTTCACCACTTGATTTCCTTAGGTACAAAAGCTGTCTAAGAATGAAGTGCTTATGGTGAATATAGGATCCCTGTCAACAGGAGGAAGAGTTAGTGCAGTCAAGGCTGATTTGGGCAAAATCGTCTTGACTAATCCTGTGTGCACNGTACAAAAGCTGTCTAAGAATGAAGTGCTTATGGTGAATATAGGATCCCTGTCAACAGGAGGAAGAGTTAGTGCAGTCAAGGCTGATTTGGGCAAAATCGTCTTGACTAATCCTGTGTGCACAGAAGTAGGAGAAAAAATTGCACTTAGCCGAAGAGTTGAGAAACACTGGCGGTAAGTTTATTAGCCTTTGTCAGTGTCTAATAAAAAAGACATAGTTTACTTAACACACTCACAAACACACTTTACCTTGAACGCAACAGTTAATGTACCATGGCTTTAATTCTCAACTGTTTATTCGGATGATTTTGAAATCTATATTTCTAGGCCTGATTTGTGATAGACACAAGCTATGCAAAAACCAGTGAATTTAGGTTTAATACCTCCCTTTTTCTGAACTGTTTGAGAAATAGGTTGCCCCTTTATCTCTTAATACTTTGGTATATATTTCTTAAAAACAAGATTATCTTATATAACCACTTTAAGAAGCTTAACACTGTTAAAATACTAAAGTCTACAGTCAGTTTTATCACTTATTTTGATAATGTCTGTCTCCTTCCTGTCTAGGGTCATGCACTGCATTTAGTTTTCATGGCTCTTTGATCTCTAATTTGGAATTTCCTCAGCCTTTTCTTGTCTTACTTGTCAGTGGCAATTTTGAAGAATACAAGCTAGTTGCTTTATAGATTGTTCCTCAATTTGGGTTTATTTGATGTTTCCTAAGATTAGGTTCAGGTTATGTATTCTTGGTTAGGATATTTTCAGGTAGGTGGTGATGTCTCCTCAGGGAGTTATAACTAGAGATGCATGTTATCAGATTGCTTCTTGTTGAGGTTAATTTTGATCATACAGGCAAGGCATTAGCCAGTTTCTCCACCCTATAGTTACTCTTTACACTTGTGAATTAGTATTCTTTGGGGGAGACCCTATGCAAATAGTCTGTTCCTTATCACACCCCACCCTCCCCCCAGGGGTAGGGATTTAGCTTAGCATCCACTGATGATTTTTGTCTGAATTGAGCTTGATCATAGTGATTACAAAATGGTGATTTCCCATCTCCCAAAACTCTAACTCTGTCACTCATCATTTGTCATTTGACATTCTTTCTTCCCCATTATTTACTTACCTAGTTAAAATATGCATTCATGGAGTCCTATTTTATTCAGCAGGCCCTTACAGATTCATTACTGTCCTTACTTATTTTGATGTCTAGAATTTGTCCAGGAGACAAATTGGCTCCTATGTCCTGTTGGTATTTCCCCATGTTTTTTAACCTATTATTTTATTAAGGGGTCCATCTCTATGACTGTCACGAAACCCATGCTAAATTAACAGTGACGTATTCTGGAGATAACTACACCCCACTATGGACTTTTGGGGAATAGCCACTGTATTCTCTCTACTTCATCTGAAACCTAGACTCAGGTGGCATCAAATCCTTGCCCTCCTATTTCTGGAGAGTGCAAAAGCTAACTATATAAGAGGACTTTTCAGAGAAAATGACTTTTGTCTTCCCAGAAGACAAACCCTCTGCTTTGCTTTCTGAAGCAGATCACAACCCCACGGACAGTTTGGGAGCTGCGCAAGCTTCAGTATGTCTCTGTTGCGTTTGTTTTTTAATAGTTCCTTACTTTCTGGCTCAAGTTGCTCTGAAGTCACCTTGTGTGTCTCCCCTGCTCCAGTTTAGAATTGGCCATTTCTCCAGGGAGCTCTGGTTCCTCTTAGTGGGAAATGGTGTTAGAAATGAAGATTTGGGTGCTAGGTGTGCTAGGACTGCAAGAAGATCCAACCAGTCCATCCAGAGGAGATCAGTCATGGGTGTTCGTTGGAAGGACTGATGTTGAAGCTGAAACTCCAATACTTTGGCCACCTCATGCAAAGAGTTGACTCATTGGAAAAGACCCTGATGCTGGGAAGGATTGGAGGCAGGAGGAGAAGGGGACGACAGAGGATGAGATGGCTGGATGGCATCACCGACCCGATGGACATGGGTTTGGATAGACTCCGGGAGTTGGTGATGAACAGGGAAGCCTGGCATGCTGTGATTCATGGGGTCTCAAAGAGTCAGACACGATTGAGCGACTGAACTGAACTGAGGTGTGCTCACTTCTCCAAAGGTGCTGTTTCTTCAGGGCCCTTTGAGTGGATAGAGCTTGGAAACATAAACATATTGTTGACTTCTCTTTTCTCTTTTCCTGGTTAGTTACTAAATCTACATTTCCTTTCTATTCTGTGTGACCTCTTTGTAGCCCATACCATCATCATTTCACACTTAAAAGTTATTGCAAAAGATTGCTAATATGCCTCTTCTACTGTTATTTAAGCATTCAGTCAAAATTAATCTTCCTAGAACATTTTTTCATGCAGTACTCAGTAATTTCTAGTAACTTCCTACTACTTTCTGATTCCGGACCTTTCTGGAAGTCTACTTGAATGCATTTTAAATTCCTCCTGCTTAGTCTCATATAAACCTTCTACATTAGACTGTTTTGTGTCCTGATTGTCCACATAATTACTTAAATCACCTTTGGTTTAATTTTGTTTCTTCCTCACTACCTCCCTCCCTTATTAAGGCTTCCCTGGCACAGTGCCTCAGGATGATTTAATCATGTACTGTTCAGAAGATCTGAATTATTTCTAATTGAGACAGAGTTAAACCTTTAAATAAATTATCCTGCTTTGTGATGATTCATGCCTGCTTGATCTGACTCTCATGTGATTATACTATTTGCTGTTATAGACAGACTGATTTCCAGTGTATTTTTTGTCTTTTTTTTTTTTTCCTTTTTCCCAGTGTATTTTTAAAGAAAGGAATGATCTTTGTGTGTCTACTAATATTATAAGAGGATTCTGTCCAAATGAAATTTTAGATGTTGCTTAAAAATAAGCAAGTATGTTAAAATTGTTAAAAGAAATGTTCTTTAGATTTATTGTTTTTAACCCATGCTTAGGTAAGTTCTGTTCTAGAACCTACAATTTAGGTAACAATCTGTCCTGGCCATTGACTAAAGCAGACACTGAAACAGAGATGGAGCAGAACTCCCTCTGCTATTGAGAGTAATCTGATTATAGATTATCTACTCTAGGTCATCTCTTAATTTCCTTTACCAATTAAAGTCATGAGAAAGCCATGTGACCTGTTGAAGTGCTGCGAACCATTAAAAAAAAAATTTTTTTTTTTTTTCCAAAGAGGAAAAAAGAATTTTAAAAAATCAGACTGAAGTGGTTTGTATGTTAGCATGGTTCCTTGGGCGGACTGGAATGTTCTTCATTAGTGGTTCTGAAGGGGCAGGTGTATTTGCGAAGTTGAGCATGTTTATAGTAGCAACTTTTTGTTTGCTTTTCCTGTCAATCCTTCTGGCCAGAGCCCATCTCTGGGTCTATGAAGATAGTGTGAGCTTTCTCTCTGGAGGAGCAGGTTTTGGAAACATTCAATTTGAGCAGATAGGCAAGTAAAACTAGTTGTGTCATGTGATTATGTGGCAATGATAATGAAGCGGATATAAAATTCATGATTTCTTTTATTTTCATTTTGCAGTTTAATTGGTTGGGGTCAAATAAGAAGAGGAGTGACAATCAAGCCAACAGTAGATGATGACTGAAGAATTAAATAACAGATTTGGATGAAGTTGGAATTTCTCTTAACAACCTAGGGGTATATTTTCAGAACAATACTGGGAAAGTAATTTCACAGCTCATTACCTTAGTAGTAGCTGTAAGGTTATTCTCATTTTTTGGTGATGAAAATTTAACCTCTAGTACTGAAATAGAGCCTACAATCAATGTAGAAATTAGCATCATGTTGGATTGAATTTACATTTTACCAGAAATTAATCATTCCCAAATAATGTCTAATTTATATGTCAGTGCAGATTTGAAAGGAAACTGCTACAACCAGACTTTGCTGTAGTAGACATACCACTGAACCTGTTTGAAATAAAGTCTTTGTTCTTATTTTTCATGATTCATCTTTGAGTAGCTCCAGGTTTGAAGGATTGTTGTAGCAGTAAAAACTTGACAAATTTTTAAAGACCAACTTCCCTTTCCCCATATTTTATGTTGCTGTATTTTTTTTTTAATTTTGAGTGAAAATAGATTCAAATAAAATTATCCTTTCAGGCATGAGGGCTTGTTTCCATGGACATGACCTTTCTCTCCCCTTTCCCTTTCTGGACTAGAGCACAGGAAACTAGAGCCCGAAGTTTTCAGCTACTCCACCTGGTGCCCTGCGATTGTCTCTGCATTGCTTTACGCCTGAAACCCTGCAGCCTTCTCCCATTGGAAAGTATTGTAAACACCAGTTGATTTTAGTTAAGTAGCAAAGATCTTTCCAGGCTTTATTTTATGTTTTATCTTAGCAGCCTAATTGATAAGATTATGATATATATCCTAATATTAGTAATCTTTGGTAGTTCGAGGAGGTAGCAAAGGGTGAGCCCTTTGGGTTTTAACTTACTCTCCCTTTTCCTATACTTTTCCTGTGCTGTGCATTTTAATTTTGCTTATTTTATCTTTCATAAAATTCTGTTGAAGCAGTGGTTCTTAACGGGCTGATACTAGCATTGTTGGAGAAGTTTTTTATTTTTTTTAAAAAGTGCTCCATGGAGATTCTGGTTTTAATCGGCTTTGGATGGAGCCCAGGCGTTATTTTTTTTTAAAGCTCCCCTGTGTTGAAAAACAAATTTAGAGAGTCGAGAAGTAGGTTTGTCAAATAACACAGATTCTTACTATGGGTAGTCTGATAATACTCTTTATTTTTCTTAAATTTGCATTTCATGTAGGACTTGATGCCGCAGTTGTAGCCTTGTGCTCTTTTGGGCATTGAACATGCTGACATGTAGAAGTTTAAAAGCTCTGACTCTGGTTGTTAACATAAGTTTTGAGGAAGCATATTAATATTACATAGTTGCTTGACTTTGAAAGGTTGCATTATAGCATGAGAAACACAGTTTAATGAAGCAAAATTTTAATCCAAACTTTGATTTTATGTCTAACCTAAGCACCTTCTACCTGAAGTTCTGGAGTAACATAAGACCCAAGTTGACTTGTTTATTGTAATTAATCTCATGTCAGAACTATTTCAGACATGCACATGACTTTCAACAAATTTGCAAAGCACTGTAATTACTGTAAATGGGAATACACAAATATGAAAACAACAGGCCATATTTTCATAGAACCTGAAGTCCATACAGTGATTCTCCTGGTTGAGAATCTGCCTATAGCGCGATGTTACTGATGAAAGTAACTGTGTATGTGAATCCTCTTGTCTCTCCTGTTAAAATATTTTCACAATCTGACCAGTTCTCACCATCTTCACTGCTGTTGTCCTACTCCAACCACCAGTGGCTCTCACCTAGAATAGCCCTGTAACAACTCCTGCCTTCCACACTTGTCCCACTGCAGTCTGTGGGGTAATACAGCCAGAGTTAAGAGAATGCTATGTATTGGGTTAGCCAAAATATTCGTTCGGGTTTTCCCATAACATTGTACAGAAAACCCAAACGAAGTTTTTGGCCAACCCAGTAAAACTCATAAACTGTAAAGTTCATCTCATGAAAATGGGGGACACGAGGACACTAGCTTTGACGTCATCCAAATAATTTCCAGGCTGACCTAGAAAGCTTGCTCTGCTATTTCACTCTTTGTAACCTCCAAAGATAGTGTGTGTGTTTGTGTGTTTCTGATTTGGAGTGCAAATAGCTGCACTCATAAACTTCTGAAATTGTGTTTCTAGGAAAATTTAACATGGCGGAGGAAAATGGATGCTTTTCTGGAAATATATAAAAGTTTTTCAAATTACCTGACACAAAGCAGATACCCTTAAAATACTAATAATCAAGAAGCAAGGTTATTAAAAACTTACCTCTGCAGAAGTTTCCACAGACTCATAATATACATTCTGCCAGATTTCAAGGAATAGGTAATTCCTGTTATTTAAATAGTTTCAGAATGTAGGACACAAAAAGGAGGCAAAAAAGGAGACGTTCTGATTCATTGTTCAAAATTTTTACATCCTTGGTGCCCAAACCTGGAGAGGGGTCATTCTCTGGCCTGAGACACAGCAAAAGCAAACCACCCGAGGCCATTCTCACAGTTACAAAATCCATTCTAAAACATTGGTAAATTAAGTCCAACATTATATTGAAAGAGTAATGCATTCTTGTATGTGCATGGATCTTTTATTGGTGGAAAGAAAAAAGCATACCTTGAAGATACATTTGATACAATTCAAAATTTTTTTAATGTAGGTAATATAGAGAAGGAAATTGTTAACTTGCTATAAGGTACTTAGAGAACTATCAGAATCAGTGTTAATGATGAAACATTGGAACACAGTAACATCCTCCCATAATGCTGGGTGGGGTAAGGTTTCATTTGGGTAAAATGTGGGGTTGTGAGCTTGACCAAATAACGGGCAAATTCAGAGGGTTGGGAAGTAGTCATCAATTGCATATACTGGAATTCATATTATTGTTTCATTTTTCTATATCCTCAGAGTCTGGAACAAGTCAGAAATATCAGCTGCCACTTGAATTCTTCAGTATTGTTTTCTGGGGCTTAGCAAATGAGATAGAAATATTGAGAATGGAAGCAACAGAACGTTACTTACAAGGTATAAGATTATCTACCTAGAAAATATAAACCAGAAACTGAAAAACTTGCACTGCTACAAGAGTTCAGTGAGGTAACAGTTCAAAATAAACATGAAAAAATTGTTAATTTACTCAATAATTTACTAATTCATTTGTACCACACATGTACACATACACAAATCAAAAAATGCAGTGGGTATAAACTTGCCGGGTATAAATTTAACAAGATTATGCAAGATACATATGAATAAAGCTAACATTTCTTGAAGGACAAGAGAGGAGATAGGAGTAATGAGAAAGTAGACAATATTATTAGATGAGAATAATATTGTACAGGTGGCTGCCTTTTTTCCCCCTATAAATTCAGTGCAATATGAATAATAATAGGTTTTTAAAAAGAACTTGTCCAGTTGATATTAAAGATTTGGAAAATTAAGATTCACAAGAATAGTAAATAAATGAATTTCCTGGCAGTCTAGTGATTAGGACTCTGGGCTCTCACTGTTAGGGGCCTGGGTTCAGTCCCTGGTCTGGAAACTAAGATCCCACAAATTGTACAGCACAGTCACATAAGTAAAAATTGTAAGTGTCCTTCAGGGTGGTGGAATAATAAACTTCTGAAAATTATGATGGGAAAGTTGGTGTGTTTTAGAACATATAATAAAGCTACAATATATGAAGTATGGTATTGAATAGATTGTGGTATTAAGTGAATAGATCATTGGAACAAAATTTACAACTAGATAAAAAGTTTTAATAATACATGCTATAGACAGCATTTATGTCAGGAAAAGGATAGACTTTTTTAGTTCAAATTATTACCCATGTGATGGTGAAAGATATTTAAAGTGTTATTTAAGATTTTACTTATTGAGACAAAAATATAATTACAAAGATATCTTAGGAGATTATTTTAATGGTTCAGATAAGGAATGCAAAACAAATCCAAAAGTCATATAGGAAAAGTTGGTAGATCTGTTACATAAAAAGTTCAAAACTTAGCACCAAAAAGATTACAGTTTAAAAGATGATAGAATGAGAAAAAGTAATTAAAACTTAAATGAAATGTGAAAGAATAATATTCCTTTGATGTTGTTCAGTCACTAAGTCCTGTCTGACTCTGCAACCCTGTGGACTGCAGCATGCCAGGCTTCCCTGTCCTTCACTATCTCCCAGAGTTTGCTCAAATTCATGTCCATTGAGTTGTAGATGGTGTCCAACCATCTCATCCTCTGCTGCCTACTTCTTTTACTATCAGTCATTCACAGCATCAGGGTCTTTTCCAGTGTGTCAGCTCTTTGCATCAAATGGCCAAAGTATTGGAGCTTCGGCTTTAGCATCAGTCCTTCCAGTGAATATTCAGGGTTGATTTCCTTTAGGATTGACTGATTTGATCCCCTTACAGTCCAAGGGACTCTCAAGAGTCTTCTCCAGCACCGCAGTTTGAAACCATCAGTTCTTTGGCACTCAGCTTTCTTTATGGCCACCTCTCACATCTGTACATGACTACAGGAAAAACTAGTTTTGACCATACAGACCTTTGTTGGCAAAGTGATGTCTTTGCTTTTTAATATACTGTCTAAGTTTGTCATAGCTATCCTTTCAAGGAGCAAGCATCTTTTAATTTCATGGTTGCAGTCACCATCTGCAGTGATTTTGGAGACCAAGAAAATAAAAACTCACTGCTTCTACTTTTCTGTTCTATTTGCCATGAAATGATGGGACTGGATGCCATGATCTTCATTTTTTGAATGTTGAGGTTTAAGCCAACTTTTTCACTCCTCTTTCATCCTCAATAGGCTCTTTAGTTCCTCTTCACTTCCTACCATTAGAGTGGTGTCACCTGCCTATCTAAGATTGTTAATATTTCTCCCAGCAGTCTTGATTCCAGCTTGTGATTCCTCCAGCCTGGCATTTCGCATGATAAACTCTCCGTATAAGTTAAATAAACAAGGTGAAAATATACAGCTGTGTCGTACTCTTTTCCCAATTTTGAACCAGTCAGTTGTTCCATGTGAGGTGATTCTGTTGCTTCTTGACCCCCCATACAGCTTTCTCAGGAGACAGATAAGGTGGTCTGATATTCCCATTTCTTTAAGAATTTTCCACAGTTTGTTGTGATTCACACAGTCAGAGGCTTTTGGGTAGTCAGTGAGACAGGTAGATATCTTTCTGGAATTCCCTTGCTTTCTCTATGATCCAACAAATATTGGCTATTTGATATCTGATTCCTCTGCCTTTTCTAAACCCAGCTTGTATATCTAGAAGTTCTCGGTTCGTGTGCTGTTGAAACCTAGCTTGAAGGTTTTTGAGCATATCCTTACCAGCATGTGAAATGAGTGCAGTTGTACAGTGATTTGAACATTCTTTGGCACTGCCCTACTTTGGGATTGGAATGAAAAATTGACCTTTGCCAGTCCTGTGGCCACTGCTGAATTTTCCAAACTTGCTGACATACTGAGTGCAACACTTTAACAGCATCATCTTTTCGGATTTGAAATAGCTCAGCTGGAATTCCATCACCTCTACTAGCTTTGATTTTAGTAATGCTTCCAAAGGCCCTCTTGACTTCACCCTACAGGAAGTTTGGCTCTAGGTGAGTGACCACACCATTGTGATTATCCAGGTCATTAAGACCTTTTTTTGTATAGTTCTGTGTATTCTTGCCACCTCTTAATACCTTCTGCCTCTGTTAGGTCCTTACTGTTAATGTCCTTTATCATGCCCACCCTTGCATGAAATGTTCCCTTGATATCTCCAGTTTTCTTTTTTTTTCCAGTTTTCTTGAAGAGACCTCTAGTCTCCCATTCTATTGTTTTCCTCTACTTCTTTGCATCATTCATTTAAGAAGTCCTTATTATCTCTCCTTGCGCTTCTCTGGAACTCTGCATTCAGTTGGGTATATCTTTCCCTTTCTCCCTTGCTTTTCGCTTCTCTTCTTTCCTCAGATATTTGTAAAGCCTCCTCAGACAACCACTTGGCCTTCTTGCATTCCTTTTTCTTTGGGATGGTTTTGGTCACTGCCCCCTGTACAGTGTTATGAACCTCCATCCACAGTTCTTCAGGCACTCTGTCTCCCAGATCTAATCCCTTGAGTCAGTTCATCACCTCCACTGTATAATCATAAGGGATTTGATTTAGGCCATACCTGGATGGCCGAGTGGTTTTCCCTATTTTCTTCCATTTAAACCTGAATTTTGCACTAAGGAGCTGATGATCTGAGCCACAGACAGTTCCAGGTCTTCTTTTTGACTGTATAGGGCTTCTTCATCTCCAGCTGCAAAGAATATAACCAATCTGATTTCGGTATTTACCCTCTGGTGATGTCCATATGTTGACTTATCTCTTCTGTTGTTGGAAGAAGGTGTTTGCTATGACCGGTGTGTTCTCTTGGAAAAACTTAGCCTTTGCCCTGCTTCATTTTGTACTCCCAAGGCCAAACTTGCCTGTTACTCCAGGTATCTCTTGACTTTTCTGCTTTTGCATTCCAGTCCCCTATGATGAAAAGGACATCTTTTTTTGATGTTA